AGGAAAGGGACCTATTTTATGCTTACTTTGTGCTTAGTACACAGGAAGTACTCAACAAACACTAGCTCAAAGATGGAAGACAATGCCTGTCTCAATTTCCTCATTGACAAATTCTATCTGTAAGAGCCTCTTCCAATTTTAAATAGCTAACAAAATCCAGCAACTCCATAAATTTTCTGAAATTCCTATAAACGTTCTTTCAGATTACATCTCTCCCTCTAGTATGATCTGAAACCACAGAAAACATTTTCACAGGGTATAAAAAATGACTATTTTATGCCCTTCGTAATATCCCGTCATGTAAAGTGATTCCATGATTTTAGGTTATCCTAATATCCTAAAAAGCACACTCTGCTCAGCAGTTGTATAAAAACATGACTTTAATTGAATACTCCAAGGTAATTTCCTGCTTGTTTTATCTTCTATCTTTCCTGTAAAAGAGGAAGGAAGGGAAGCTGCCTTATTTTTTTAGTATGTCACCAGGAAATTATTTTATTATTAGGTACATTATGAGACCCATAATACTGTAATATCCAAATTATCTCCAAATATTCTGATTCTCCCTCTCTGTATGGCTATCCGCCCCCCCCCCCAACTCCATTATGAACACCAGGAAGCTCTGGTCCAGAATCCAGTCTCACTGGTAATTATGCCACCACAGTTTATGTGCAGAGCCCTACTACTACCCATCTCTGAAGTTTCAAAGTAGGAGACCAAATTTTTGGTCTGAAATAGCATTTGACTGAGCAGAAACAATTACTAATAGTTATCACTAATGTAAACAATGGGAAATAGTAGGTTCAAGATCTCTCTTTTTTTCAAGTTTTTTGTAATGTTTATTTATCTTTGAGAGTACAAGAGAAAATGAGTGGGTGAAGAGCAGACAGAGAGGGTGACAGAGAATCCAAAGCAGGCTCCAGGCTCTGCGTATAAGCTAAGAACCCCACGTGGGGCTTAAACTCATGAACCGCGAGATCGTGACCTGAGCCCAAGTCAGACAGACGCTTAACTGAGCCACTCAGGCGCCCCAGGGTTCAAGATGTCTCTTAAAGCCATTCAAGATATTCTCATTTCAAAACTGAAGATACAAAGTACCATAACATCATACTGTTATTCTTTGACAATTCAACTACAGAAGACAGTAGTACTGAGTTCTGGGTATCCAGGTACCAGGTTATCACTATGTCTACGGCAGCTGTCCACATTAAAATAAAAGAATTATTAAACCAACTAATGAGCCTTCAAGATTATCTCTTACCTATAACAAATAATTCATGACAAGTAATTGAGGGATTTTTGTTGTTACTGTTGTTTTGGTTTTACACATCCCCTAGAGATGAGCCAGGGTAAGAAAATTAAAACTATATACGCTAGGGAAATAGAATGATCTCATGATTTCTGCTTCCTAATAAAGTAGTCATTTACAACACTACTAAAGTAAAGAAATGCAAAGCCTAACACCATCCGCAGGTTTAGGCAGGTCCTACTTACCTGCTCTAACTTTTACCTGCTCTTTTTACGCTGTAAGTTTTCACCCTCACAAAACCTTAGTTCACGTTGTCTTAGTGAAGACCTCTTTACAAAACTGGAGGTTTTGTTTAAAAAAAAAAAAAGCAAAAACACCTGCAGGGATTATGGAAATCCATAGGCTTAGTCATCCCAAGAATTCGAAGTAAACTATCAACAGTATGACAAGATATTTAATGATCTTTATTTGTAAATTAATGCACTGTTTTAACTCTAAAATACTGGTTTGGCAAACAGGCTCACAGGTTAAGAGGTTCTTTCTCCATTTATTTTCTACTTGAACTGATGGTAGCCACAATAATACCAACATACACAACCCTGAGAGTTTGATTTTAAAGGGTAATAAATTCAATCACCCTTGCAAACTCATAAGCGTATTGCGCACTGATCTAGATGTTTATATCCCCAGATGACTCTATGTCCCCCGCTGCCCGGATTGATATCGTAAGGCTATAGCCTCCACTGTGTGACCCTGGACAAGTATTCACTCCGTATGTACCTAAGTTCTCTCACCTGTCACCGTGCCACACAATCGGGAAGGCACTAGCCACATCTGATCACTGGCACATCTGGCACATTGTAATTAACCGAAGTTTAAATTAAGCAAAATTAAAAACTCAGCTCCTCGGTAGCGCTCGCCACATTTCAAGGGCTCAAGGGCCAGATATGGCAGGAGGCTACCACAGTGGAGAGGACATAGTGATAAAAATAAATGGTATGATTGAGACTAACACAGGTGATCAAGGGGGCAGGAGGGACTACATTAGATGAGATGGTCGGGATATGCCTCTGTTAAACGTGGATATCGGAGGGGACACTTGACTAACAAGATGTGGCCAGAATGAAAGCTCTGCATGGCATCCAGAGAAGAGACAGGAACGAAGGAAGAGGCCCCAGGCACAAAGGAGCCCAACTGGTTTTACAACAGTGTGACGGAAGCACAAGAAGTAAGGGAGAGTAGCACCAGTTGACCAGAAGTGGCAGGAGCCAGGGCCTCAAGGGCCCCATAAACCAGGTAAGGGCTTTGGATTTTTATATTAAGCGCAATCCAAAGCCATAGAGTTCTAAAGAACAATGCTATGATCTAAACTGTCTTTAAAAGCTCACTGTGACTGCTTCGGGGAAATAATGACAAGAAAGCAAGAGCAGAAGCAGGAAGATCGTCAGCAGGCCGGTGTCACTGCTGCGGTGAAGCAGCGCAGGGGAGCAGTGGTGGCATAGAGAGAACGGGTTACTTTCTCTCCATCTCCTGTACAGTCCTGTATCCTTCACAATGTGGCCCCTTGAATGAGTCAACTTCTTTTTAGCTCCTCTCTCCTGTACAGATGCTTTCCGCCTCCACCATTCCACAGAAACCATCCTGAGGTCCCACTCACCCCCACCTTCCCAAAACCGATGAGCGCTTTTGCGTGCTGACCCTAGCTGACCTCAGCTGCAGCTGCCCACCGCTCTTCCCTTCACTCAAATCCTCTCCTCCCTCAGCGCCTGGGGCATGCTCTCACCTGGCGTTCCTCTTTCTCAGTCTTCTTCCCATCACCTGACTCTTTAACATCACTGCTCCTCTAAAGTACATCTTCGGTACTTGGTTCACTTCACTGCATACATGATCTTTGAGACTCATTGACATCACTGACATTTCTGGCTGGTAACTTCCAAATTAACATCCCTGGCCCAGGATCCTTCCTACGTGTTAGACCTCCAGATCTAGCATCTGACTGGACCCCCTCACTTGGACGTAGCACAACCATTTAACCTGCACAACACCCACCTCCTTCATTCTCTCCTTATACACCCCTGCCCAAGCCACAGGTGTTCTCAACTCACTCTCACTCATCAGCTCCAACCCCAACACCAGATCTTCACCAGCTCCCGTAGATTCTTAACAGCTTTCCAATCTCTCCTTTCCTCTCAAGTCCTGCTGAGGCTCTTTTAGTTCAAGCTCACATCCCTTCTGGTTTTGGGGGGACAGCCTCCCGCCAAACTCCCTGCTTCCCGTCTCGACACACTGCTACCAAAGCCTTTAACAGGTATTCAAAAACTTTGCTGGATACACTAAGTACAAACCTCACTGTGTCATGTCTCTGCTTAAAGTCTTTGAAAGGCATCCCACTACTTCCACAGGCTTCTCGCGACCAAACTCATTACCGTCACAGCCTCCTCTCCCCCACTCTTCCCCTCGCCTCCTTGTCCTTAGCCATTTCAGGCCTCCCTTGCTCTGCACATTCTATTACCTCTCCCCTCTTCACCCAACTACTACTTCAAAGATGGGCTCAGTTATCACCGCTGCAAGGAGCGTCCTGGGGCCACATCATGTACATGTGTGGATGGATACATATCCACAGAAGTGTGCGTTCATGTATATCTCAATCCCACTGTAGGGTTGCTGTCCACTTCTTTGTCCCGGCTCCTAGTGGGCAGACGCCACCAACCTCACTGGATTTGCAGCACTACTGTTCGGCACAGAGTTCTGATCGGACACCTTCCACACTGAAGAAAGCGGAAGGAGTTTATTTAGCGGGTCTTTTATCACCATTCCAGTACAGCACAACATGACAGCAAGCACTGTACTACGAAAGCAAACGTGCTTCAGGTGGGACACATGAACAATCCAATAACCACAAAACGCACCCCCTTCCGACAGGAGAAATGTGGGAAATTCTGAGAAGCTATGCGGTCTCTAATCAACCTGATTCGGGATCGTACACTACCTGGAAAGGAGCTCATTTAATACTGTCTGATGATGACAAACAGGTGGAAGGCGTCTCGTCTCAATAAAGAACATTAACTTTGCCCGGCCCGCGTTGCTGTAATCTTTAGTTCCTGATGTAGAGTCGCCCTCGCTTCCTGACAGGTTTTCCTTATTTGGGAGACGCCTACTCACCACCCCGGGAGTCACTCATGTGTCGATCACACCATTTATTCTCTATATCTGAAGGGAGGGGGAAGGGCCGGAAGAAGGGAGGCTGTGGGGGAGCACAAACACTTTAGGAAGGGAGGGTGCCCCTAGGCCACAGTCCCGGGGATGGAAGCTAGCAGGGACTGAGGCAGTACCCGGGGAACGCGCTGACAGCTGGCAACGCATGGGGAGGGGGATGCGATCGCGGAGCAAGCCGTGCGGAACAGGGTACCGCGGGGTGTAGGGGGAGGTGGAGAGGGCACTCGGAGAGAAGCCTGGGGGTAGGGGTGGGGAGGGGAGTAGGCAGAGGCGTCGGGAAGCAGGGCGCAGTATGGGCCAGAGGGCTAGTGGCTTAGGAGAAAGCCGGGCGAGAGGAAGACAACACCGACCCCGCCAGGGCGGACGGGGTGTCGGACGAGGAGGGCAGGGGATCAGCGCGGAACGAAGGAAAGCGCAAGGTTGGGAAACCAGGCGCCCCGAGGGCAGCGGTGGCGGGGCAGGTAGGAGACCCGAACCCGCCCCGCAGGGGCCGCGGGCGGAGCCGGGGAAGGAAGCGGCGAGGCTGGGGGGCACTTACTGGGGTCCCTCCGCAAGGCGCCGCTGGGGGTCTCCTCCCGCAGGTGAGGGAAGAGGAAGTCCCGGGCGGCCTGGAGGTCCTGGAAGTGGCAGAACTGGACAATGGAGCAGGCCATGGCTCCGGGAACCCCGCTCGGGCACCCACCTCACCTCACCACGCCCTGCCCCCCGCCGCCCCGCGGCCACCGCCGCCGAGCCCGCACTGCTTTAGCCGCGCAGGGGCGGGGAAACCACACCGGAAGCCGTCAGCGCGCTCGAGCCCGCCGCCCCGGAACGCCGCGCATGCGCGGGCCGGCCCCGGCGCCGAGGCTGGCGAGGTCCGAGTCACGTGACCGGCGGCCGTACTGGGGAGCCAACGTCGACGTGGACGCTGGCTTCGGGCTCGAGTCCCAGCTCTGCGCCTACAGCCGGGAACGAACCCTTTTATTCGTTCTGGCTTTGAGCCAGAGATGACCTAATTGGACGTTGTCCGCGCCAGCCTTTGAGTCATTTAACCAATCTTATTGATGTCCTGCTATTGGCACGATCCTGATATTTCAGAGAAGAATCCCTGTTACACTCGTGGCAGCGGAGCGGGGGACGGTACCCTGCAGGCATGAAAGTGTGAAGAGATTACTTTCTCTTCTGGAAATCGGCCCCATTAAGGCTAACTTTAAGTGCTCCCGCTGCAAATTCCCGTAGTACTTTGCATGCGTAATAGAGTACGGGTTACACCGTATTATATAGTCTTCAAGTTTTCGACGTTCATTTGGCCTTTCATTCATTCTTTCGTTCATCCATCCGTACAAGCAAGTATTTGTTGCTCGTCTTTTTGATGCCAGCCACGTGAGACGCTGAGTATAAAAGAGAATAAAAGATGAAAGGTTTGTTCCCACGGAGCTAAAATTTTAGTGGCACACACGTAGTAGGCAATTAATTACTCAACTATTTAAGTGAAATCGTGACAATGCTGGGAAGGAAAGAAGTACAAAGTGGTAAGACAACACAACAGGGACCCTTAGCTGATGGTGGCTTTGGTTTGGGGGAGTGGGGGTGGAGTTGCCAGGATCAGGAACAGACTTTGTTGTAAACTCCCGGAGGGTGAGATCTCATCTCACTCCTCTTCCTGTCGACAGTTTCTAGCATAGGACCTAGCGGTAGTGCTTAATAAACACTTGCTGAGGAAGTAAATGGGATGAAATGTGCACGTAAATAGAGTAGCCTGCTTATTTTACAAGGCACTCTTTATTTCTTATTTTTCTGTCCATTGTTTAATTGGATAGTCACAACACCATCTTGAAAGAGTGTGCCTTAGCTCATTTTTTTTTAATGTTTTTATTTATTTATAGGAGAGAGAGAGACAGCGTGAGCAGGGGAGGGTCACAGAGAGAGGGAATCACAGACTCTGAAACAGGCTCCAGGCTCTGAGCTGGCAGTCAGCACAGAGCCCGACGCGGGGCTCGAACCCACGAACCGGGAGATCATGACCCAAGCGAAAGTCGGACGCTCAACCGACTAAGCCACCCAGGCGCCCCGCCTTAGCTCATTTTTTAAATTTTTTATGTGTCACTGAATTCATGTTGTCTTGAAGTTCATTTACATTATTTTTTCTTAAAAGTAAATCCAAAAAAGAATGAGTTTAATGTTAGCCCAAACATTAGGCACTCACCTAACTTCCCAAAACCTAAAGTGGCAACCTGAACTGGTCATCCGTTTTGTACAGCAGAAAATGAGATGGAAATAAATTGAAGGCAAATGGATGATGTCCAGAGCGTCCTTGTCTGTCAGGCCACACTTTGTCTTAATAATATAACCATAATCTAGTGCCCAAGTTCCTACTCCATTAATTCCTGTTTCTAGAGTAGAATGATTTTCACAAAATTAGATAATCTTTGCTATCAGGTTAACAGGGATCAGTTCTAACCCTACAAAATATATGGTTGGATTAGATGTACTATAAGGTTCCCGAAACATCAGAGACCGATAATCCTATGATGCAAACTTGCAGAAAAAGCAAGCTTTTAGTGCTTCTGTTTTCCATCTGGAAAAAAAAAAATGCAACGCTTCCTCAGATCACCAAGTCCTTAGTGATTAAACCCTAAAATATGGCGCCCGTACCAAACTAGAATAAAATTTAAATCTCTATTTCTAGTTTTACATGATGAATAAAGAACATGTGGTACTTTGGGGAAGGATACAGTGTCATTCCTTGAAAACCATTCGAGTTGCTATTCAGGTAAATGCACTCTGTGGAAGTGACTGCCCTTGGCCTATTCAGCTGGCCTTTGTATTACCCCGAGGCATTCATATATCTCTTGTGTGGCCGCCATTGAATTTCATTACTGCTGGGTTTCAATGGGTGAAGTCCCTGACTTCCCTCCAAGTGGTATTGAAAAGGCTTATTCATGAATGTTTTGAAGGACTTTAGATGCCCTTCACAAAAATTACAACACATTCATGAACTGAGCTCTTCCCCCAGGAAGTTGTAAAGCTGCAGGGGATGCCTCCGGAGCTCTGCCGCCATGGTTTCTGCGAGTGTGGGAAGACTGTGTCAGACAGGGAACATCACCAGCCACACACTCACAAGGAAGCGCGTTGCAGAAAATGTGCAGGCTTTACACATCCCAGAATAGACCGTGTCTCTGAGGTATGAGTGCAGGAGCTAGGAAAAGCACCAAAACCAGCCAGATTTTGTGACCAAAATAATCACAGGAGGATACGAACATGAACTCTCCAGAATCCATTATTGTGAGTTAGCGTGCTGAAAACTGTTGGTAGGAGAGAGATGCTTCCTGAACGTTGTCAGCAGAGGGTCCTTGCCCATCTTTAAAGCAGCCTGAGGCTGATGGTGTTGGCATATGGAATGGGGGGCAAAGTATGAAAGAAAGAACAATGTCTCAGAGTCCGGAGACCGTGGATCTGTCTCAGCGAGATCACTAACATGAGGCATGAACTTGGACAATTCATGTCACCTTCCTAGGCCTTTGTCTCTTCATCTATAAAATGAAGAGAATGGACTCAAAGTCTGTCTCAGGGATGTGTAGCTTTAGTAAGATATTAGGAAAGAAAGGATCTGGGAGATGGAGTTCCTTAAAAGGAGTGATCTACATAGGCACCCCAATACGAGGTGTGGGTGGACAGGAATGAACTTGAGGGCACTCAGCATCTCTAAATGCAAGAAAGGAGAGCAAAGAAGGAAGATGGAAGAACACTGAAACCTCACCTCACAGCCATGCAGAAAGTCATCCTTGAATTCACATCTGAATTGAAGTGTAAGCAGAAGAAAGGGCTATATACATCTAGTTTTTATTCAACAAACATCCGCAGAGGATAACGTCTAACTTATGACACTAAAGGCGATGTGGTGAGCACAGTGCGGTGGTCAAGACGAGCCATCCAGAGGCTCACTCCCTAACCGGGAAACAGCTACAAGTGACTCTAAGTGTGAGGAGTACTGTGGGTGACTTTTGGTACTCATAAAGGACTGTGGGAGAAATGAGGGAGAGATTAATATTGGTTGGTAGGCTTGTCCTGTGGAAAAGGAGTGGTGGGGAAGACGGATGAAAGGCGATAAACAGACTGGTTCCAGATTATAGAGAACCTCAAAGTCCAAATACTACAATCTGAATTTTATTCTCTGGGCTAGGTATAGCCAATTGAAAAGTTTTTTTAGGGGCGCCTGGGTGGCTTAGTCGGTTAAGCGTCCGACTTTCGCTTGGGTCATGATCTCGCGGTTCGTGGGTTCGAGCCCCGCGTCGGGCTCTGTGCTGACTGCCAGCCCAGAGCCTGGAGCCTGTTTCAGAGTCTGTGATTCCCTCTCTCTCTGATCCTCACCTGCTCATGCTGTCTCTCTCTCTCTCTCCTAGAAATAAATAAAACATTAAAAAAAAAATTTTTTTTTAAAAAAAAAAAGAAAAGTTTTTTTAGAAGAGGTAGGTCATGATGGGGTAGCAGTGTGTAGCATGACTAAAGACAGAGATACCTCAGGAATGCAAACTGGAGCAGCCGCTCTGGAAAACAGTGTGGAGGTTCCTCAAAAAATTAAAAATAGAACTCCCCTAGGACCCAGCAATGGCACTGCTAGGAATTTACCCAAGGGACACAGGAGTGCTGATGCATAGGGCCACATGTACCCCAATGTTTATAACAGCACTTTCAACAATAGCCAAATTATGGAAAGAGCCTAAATATCCATCAACTGATGAATGGATAATGAAGATGTGGTTTATATATACAATGGAATACTACTTGGCAATGAGAAAGAATGAAATTGTGCCATTTGCAGCAACGTGGATGGAATTGGAGTACCGGTATTATGCTATATGAAATATGTCAGTCAGAGAAAGACAGATACCATATGTTTTCACTCATATGTGGATCTTGAGAAACTTAACAGAAGACCACGGGGGAACGGAAGGGGGAAAAATAGTTACAAACAGCGAGGGAGGGAGGCAAACCATAAGAGACTCTTAAATACAGAGAACAAACTGAGGATTGATGGGGGTAGGGGAGAGGGGAAAGTGGGTGATGGGCATTGAGGAGGGCACTTGTTGAGATGAGCACTGGGTGTTGTACACAAGTCAATTTGACAATAAATTATATTTTTTAAAAAAGACAGAGATACCTTAAGATACCATGAAAGTATTCTAAATGATAAGTAATGACAGTGGAAAGTCAGTGTCACTTTGGGGGCCAAACCAGTAGATTTTTAGTGTGTGATTAGATATGGATGGTTGGGAGGGAAGATGAGAGCCAAGGTGACTGATGTTCAAGTGCATTGTGTAAGGAACTATAGAGATGCCGGCAATGTCATGTCAGCAACCAAAAGACAGAATGCCAGAGGAGGAATGGATTTGGGGATCAACAGGAATAAGATGTATTCAATATTGCATGTATTAAATTTGAAGTGCCTAAGGAAGAGCTAGGTTTTTTAAAGGGGGGCAGGCACCTGCGTGGCTCAGTCAGTTAAGTATCCCACTTGATCTTGGCTCAGGTCATGATGTTGCAGTCATGGGATCGAGTCCCACATCAGGCCTGCACTGAGCATGGAGCCTGCTCTCCCCCACCCCCACCCCCACCCTTCTCCTCTGCTAGTTCTCTGTCTCTCTCTCTCTTTCTCAAAATAAATAAACATTTTTTTAAAAAGGAGGGAGTTAAAAACAGGAGTTAGAAATATGTAATTAGAGAGGCCAGAGG